GACACTTAAGTGCTTCGTTAAAAAATAATAGTAATAATATTAATAATAATAATAATAATTAATCCTGTTCCATTAAAACTAATCTGGAGCCTTTGGTGACTCCGCTCCACATTTCATCTAGATAGATCAGTGGTTCCCAAAGTTGGCAACTTTAAGACTTGTGGACTTCAACTCCCAGAATTCTCCAGCCAACAGAGCTGGCTGGAGAATTCTGGGAGTTGAAGTCCACAAGTCTTAAAGTTGCCAACTTTGGGTACCACTGAGATAGATAGAAGTTGAATTTGTTCAGGGGGCTTCTAGGTACGTAATATTTCCAGGCAGACAAACAGATCACACTGGGTGAAATAAGGAGCATTAAATATACAAAAATACTTTCAGTTCTGATTTTTTTTTTAAAAATGCACGTAAGGGGAAGGCCAAACTCTCTATATATTATATATATATGGTGGGAGGGAGGTTTCTCTTCCCCCTGTTTGTAAGTTAGATTCAAGAAGGGTTTAAATCACATCTGGGGGAATAAATCAATGGCTGGGTGAAAAGCTTGAGCACACAACTCCATTAACAGCTGGAGAAGACACAATCACCATTAGGGTCTTTTCAAATTATGAAAACATCTGGTGGAAAACTTCCTTCTAAGGAAGAAAGCTGCTAGTACGGAGATGGTCCCATCAGTTCTTCATCTAGTTTTATTGATACTTTTAAGATAAAAGTCAAATGGATGGGAATTACTTCAATAATCCAGGACCAGATTCCTTCCCAAACTGACTATTTCCATCCTTCGGCTCCCTTCCTTCCTTCCTTCCTTCCTTCCTTCCTTCCTTCCTTCCTATAGGGAAGATGGATCCAGAGGTGGCCTTTGGAGAAGGAGGGCCTGGATTTAACCGTCACCTTGTTTCCAAGCATTGAATAACATGGGTGGGGAGAATTCATAGGCCACTCTTATTATTAAATTTATAAAACATTTTCTCTTCTGTTTTAGTGCTCTGTGTCAAAATATTTGCTTTCTTCCAAACCTGAAATGTTGAGCTAAGCAGAAAGGGACTATTTTCATGCTCCCCCCCTTTTTTAAAAGTTGTAATTCTCTTTAAAATTTTCCCGGGCAGAAACCAGACTCGTAAACAGATGGTTTGATTTAGCAAATGCACCTTTTTTTTTTGTGAAACATTGGATGCTATTTTTCTCCTTTAAGTGGGGGAAAAAAACTTCCTTTCTGGATGCCCAATTTGTAAAGGCAAGAAAGATTTCTCTGGAACCGAGGTACATCATGTTCAACAAAGCCCCTGAAAACATGTTTCCAATACAACATCTCTCTCTGTTGTTCTGTTGCCCCCAAAAGAAAGAAGGAAAATAAAAAAAGGAAGGGGGACATACCCCTCAAAACTAAATAGCAGACTCAAGAGGGCACCGCCGGTTGCAAATTTAGACTCTTCACGGACTACAAGACCAAGGTTTCTTGACAGGTGTAGTGGAGGAAGGTCTTACAAAACACAGCATCTGCCAATCAAGTTTAGTAACATTTTGGTCCGTCTTCCTAGTGCTTCTTGATTTGCTTGGATCAACGAGCCAAGTTTCCTATTTTTTTAATTATTCTTTTTTCTCTTTAATCTCATCCAGTGGCAAACTACAAGACTTTTCAGTGGGCATTTAATGATACAACTGATACAGTTTATCTTTTTAATATCAAAGCAGCTTGAGCTGTTAATAAATTCCAAAGTTTCCTTTTATTAAAATATCTAAAAGAGGTCTATAAATATTATTTTAATATTTCTTTTCCTTCTAAAAGTGTTTCTCGGTTTGTTCCTGTGTTGTCTGTTTTCACATTTAAAACCCCCCAAAAGTCGGTTTTAGGTTAACTTCAAGAGCTAAGAAAGGAAGAGGTCGCTCGCCTTCGACAAAATGCGGCTGACTTTTTTTTTTTGTCTCTTCCTTAGACTTGACAAAATTAATAAAATATGTGTGTATGTGTGTCCTTATATATATAAATATTCATATATATGAATATATATACACACACACACATACATATATACACATATATATTTATAGATCTGGGTTTTTTTCTCTATACACTCTGCTAGGACTCCCTGCTCTGTCCACGTGTTCCGCGTAGTTTACAACTCGGACAACGTCATTTAGGTATTCGGTTCCGATTATTTCCTTCTTTCCATTTAGCCCTTCAAAATTCCCACTCCAAAGTCTCCTCGCGGTTGGCAGCTCTTTCCAGCCGATGAATTATGCTGTTGAGGTTAGCCATTTTCTCGTTCCGGCGCTGGATGTTCGTAGTCAGTTTTGCGCTGGGTGGCACGGCGCTCGTATCGGCGGCCGGGCTGGCGCTCTGCCCTTTGGTGGCCGCGTTGTTCACTGGCAAGGGGGAGATGGGAGCTGAGGAGGATGGGACGGGAGAGACGGACATCAGGACTCCCGGCGAGGAAGCGGCGGATGGCGAGGTTAGAGAAACTTCCAGGCTGCAACGGGAGGACTCGGAGGCGGATTTAAAGCTAACGGGGTCCGAAGGCGACCTCTCGCGGCAGTCGGTCTCCGCGGGGTTATGGAAACTGGAACAGTTGTGGGCCCCAGGCGGGTGTGTCTTGCTCCGTAGGGTGCTGGCCCAGGTGAGGCTGGGAGCTTCATGTGGGCTCACACAACCGGGGTCTCCCCTGGGGCTGGATCCAGATACGGGCTCTACCTCGCCTTCAGGACTGCAGGAGTCCCTACTGCTGCCCGCGTCGTCTTTGTCGCCCGCCTCCAGCTGCTCTTCCTTGATTTCCACCAGCGCTTTGCGTTCTCCTTGGCACTCGACGTTTCTGAAGGTGGGTTTCTCATCCTCCCCTTCCGAGTCGGGGCTCTGGGGCTGGGCCCCCTTGAGCAAAGGGCCAGCGCTCTGTTCTGCATCTGTGTCGTCCTGGCTTCCTTCCATCAGCATCTCTCGGCGCATCCGAGACCTGCCGAAGAAAAGGGCCATGAGGTTCTTGCATCCACAGGAGACCCCCACCCCCACCCCACCCGCCCCCTCAAAAATCAACCAGAAAGGCAAACACCAGGCTAATGTAGGCTGGGAGATTGAGAACCTCTTGAGTTCCCTCAACTCCTGGACTGGGTTTGCACAACACAACTAACCCCTCCAGTTAAAGCTTGGTAGGTTCCTTTTAGCTTAGATGGTGTTGCTAAATAATTTAATTGGCATAAGTGTGTTATTGCAAACAAAGCCATTATATGGATGTAGAAAAAAATGGTTTTCCCTCCCCACCCCTGAAAGTTACCAGGTTTTATCAAGAGGAGAAAAATCTGAGGACGAGGCCAAAATTGCAAATGGTGAAAAGCACAAAATTAATACTCAAAGAGCCTAGATGTTTCCAGTATGTAGTGCCACTTTTCATCGGTCATGTACTATCTGACAGGTGCCAACTTTAAAGACCCAGGATTCCCAGGGGAGCGGGGGCTGCTTTTCAGAGGGCAAAGAATCGACACACACAGAGAGAGTTATAACAGCTCCTCCCTAGCAATTCCCAGAGTATATTTATAGTTCTGCAAATACCCTATTTTTCGGAGTATAAGACGCACCGGAGTATAAGATGCACCAAGATTTTAAAGAGGTAAATTTAAAAAAATATTTTTTGTACTCTGCAGACCTCCCAAACCCTCTGCACGCCACATTTTTTGTGAAAACTGGGGCATGCATAGGCTTTGGGAGGCTTGTAGAGTGCTCCTGGGGGCTGGGGGCAAAAACGAGCAAAAAACAGCCTGTTTTCTGCTCATTTTTGCCCTCCCCAGCCCTCAGAGGCACTTTGCAGGCCTCCCAAACCCTCTGCGTGTCCATTTTTGTGAAGAGGGCAGGATTTCGGGAGGCCAAAAATGCTGCGTTCAGTGTATAAGATGCACCCAGATTTTCACCTTCTTTTTTGGTGGGAAAGGTGCGTCTTATATATCGAAAAATATGGTAGTTGCTTTAGTCTGGCAAGATTCTGTCAAAGAAGAAGGAGGAGGAAGGAGGAGGAGAAGAAGAAGAAGAAGAAGAGAGGAGGAGGGAGAGGAAGAAGGAGGAGAAGGAGAAGAAGAAGAAGGAAGAAGAAAGGAAACTACTCCAAAGTAACTCCAGGTGCTGGTTATGGTTCTTGGGGTCTGGCCCCAAGAGGTGGCACAAGGCGGGGTTGACCTGCTCCTGACCTGTAATTGTGGAACCAGTTAATGACCGTGTTGGTCTTGAGGTTGAGCTGGAAGGAGAGCAGCTCGATCGTCTGCTGGGAGGGGTATGGTTCCAGCTGGTAGGCCCTCTTCAGGGTCTCCTTCTCCTCTGGAGCCAAGACCACCCTTGGCTTCTTGATCTGCAGGAGGCTGAGGTCTTGCAGCTGGAGGCTGGGACTGGGGCACTCGGAACGAGGGTTGGGGGACTCGCTGTCCGAGCCAGCACTGATCAGCCCGTAACGGCGTTTCAGGTACGCTGTAGATGGGAGAAAATCAGAAGGAGCCAATGTTTTGGGGTAGGGTGGGTGGAGTGAGTGGGGGGATCACATCTTCATTTGTATAAATCCCAATCAGGCCGCGGGTTTTGAGAAGCTGCTGCGGACCGAGGATGCCTCACCTTTCTTCTCCAGCTTTTTCATGTCCCGGAGCTTGTCGATGTTCTGAGGGTCATTCAGCCAGAGCTGCATGCGCACGAACGGCTCCCTCCCCTTGAGGCTCAGCTTGTGCCAAGGCTTGGGCCTGGAGAGGAGGTCTGAGACCGATCCCTGCGTCAGGCCCAGGATGCTCTCCCCGAAAAGGCGCTGACCTAAGCGGGAGAGGCAAATTGGAAATTGAGATTATTAAGTCGTCGTTTTAAACAGGAAAGGCCCTTTAAAAGTGTGTGGGGGTACATTTTGTTTCTTTTGGTTTCACACACTGCCTCAGAGGTTCTCTCATCTAGCTCAGGGGGTCCCCAACCTTTCGGACCTCCGGGACCACTAAATTCATAATTTTAAATCCCGCGGACCACTAATAGGATCTGCCTAATGACCGGCTGGGTGGNAAGGCTGAGTCAACCCTGAGCCGGTGAGATTTGAACCGCCGAACTGCAGTTAGCAGTCAGCTGAAGTGGCCTGCAGTGCTGCACTCTAACCACTGCGCCACCTCGGCTCTTGCAGTGATTTTGTCCAGTTGTCCAGTTGGGGGGAGCTCCTGGGGTGAAGCGATGCCAGTTTATTATACACAAATGCCGCATGAATTAAGGGTTCCCCCCCCCCATCCTCTGAGCTGGCTTTGATTTCCTTCATCCCGTTTCCAACTGTGGGGCCAAAACCAGACACCGGTCCGAAGAGATTCCGGTCAAGAATTTGGAGTGCCGTGTGATGAGTTGCTAATGGAAAGAGGGAACTGGGAGAAAGGGAGTCCCGTTGTTTTCTCAGAGGGCACAGCAAAGACAGGGCTCCCTTCCTGGGGGGGTAAATGAGGCTGCAGAATTGCACACCCGGGCGAGGGAGGTGGCCACCAGGAAGGAAGGAGCCCCCCCAACTCAGATTTTGGGCTCAGGTGCCGCGTTCTCTCCACATCTCCCCCTGCAAAGTTCCTCTTTTGAGGCTGGCGCTTTTCCTGGTTCTTTCTAGTTTTAAAAAAAGAGAACTGGGGACCCCCCCCCGCAAACACACACCTCTCCTAGGAAGCCCAATGCCAGCTCTCCCCCACCCCCCAAAACCCAGGGATTTCTGAGTTGGGCATGCAGAAGTGGGCTCTGCCAACCAGCTCTGTATTATCCTGGTCTGTTGCACCAATTCTTCTGGATGGGCCCCACCAGCAGCCGATGTGACCCAATCCTCTTCTCTGCCCAGAATATTCTTCTGCAAGTCCTTCACAGCTGTGCCTTGAAACACCGCTGGGAACCAGACGATGCCCACGTGCCCAGACATCACCCAGAAAACTCCCCCAAAATAAGGGGGGCATGGAAAGGCAACCCTGCCTTGCCGGAGTTTGAGGGTTATCGCTTATTGGTGGGACACCCGGTCTCGGCTCCTGGGGCTTCCAAGGGAGGTATGGCATTGGCAGTGTCCTGCGGGAGCCTCGGGGCCAGTCCCGGCTGGCACGTGTTGCTCTGCAAGTATCAACAAGGTTGTCCTTTCCAAACAATTAAGTTGGCTGCCGATACTTTGGAAGAGGATAAATGTGGGTGGCGAGAAGGAGAATTAGTCAGTTCCGGATGGGCAGGAGTGGCTGGACCTGATGAACAACTCTGGCCGTGTTGATTTCCGCCTGCCTTCTTCGTTCTTTTAAATAGCAATAGCAGTTAGACTTATATGCCGCTTCATAGGGCTTTCAGCCCTCTCCAAGCAGTTTACAGAGTCAGCATATTGCCCCCAACAATCCAATACATAGATAGATAGATAGATAGATAGATAGATGATAGATAGATAGATAGATAGATAGATAGATAGATAGATAGATAGATAGATAGA